AACTGCATCGACGCAGGCGTCTTCGCTCCTGGCGCACTCCTGCGCCCTGATGGCTCCGAAGTGAGCGGCGCGACACATCCGCGCAACTGCACCGTCTGCCCCGAAGCTGCGCTGAGTCACCAACCGTTCCCGCTGCTCGAACCTGGAACCAACCGCTACCCCAAGCTGCACAAGGTGTACAGCGATTTCCTGAACGTGGGGCATTGCGGAGTCGAGGATGAGCTATACACGCTCACCTTCATTGACGCTGGAACGCGCTATGTGTGGGTCGTAAATGTGGAGTCGCGCGACAGAGCCTGTCAGAACTAGCTGTAGAAAGTAAGAATGAAGAAAGGAGGGTTTGCACTAGCAACAATGGTGGTACAAATAGCTAACCCTAGAAGGGTTGTACTCGCTATAGAGCACCCCACTGCAGGCTAGAGCATAATATTCTGACACACCCCCATAGTCAAAGTGGGGTGTAATCAGCAGAGCAAGCAAAGTAGTACAAGCTCAGGGTGGATCACGATGTCACCACACATTCTGAGCACAAGCAAGAAGCAATAGTTTAAGGTTCACAATTATGAGCAAAGCTAGAGGCAGTCACAGGGGGCAAGTGAGGAGGAGGAGGGCTGGTGAGAGGAGAGTAGATAGGAGGCGACGACTGAAGATGCAGACACACGGGCAACAGACGGCTCTGGTGCGACAACGTGGCTACCGGGAATGAGTGCCCCGGAGTACAGGAGTAACAGGCTCCGCGGCTAATATGCGCGGCAGGAGCAACGGACCCACAGGCGACGGCGCAACCGGCTCTCTGAGCTACCGGGAATGAGTGCCCCGGAGTACAGGCGCTGCGTACGACACGACGGCAACCTCCGCTCAACCTCCCCCAACAGTCCCACACCCCTCGACACACACCCCCTGCTGCGCCCCTAGCTCCACTCCCCCTTCACCCCCCTAGGACCACTCCTTCGGCTCCCCACACAACCACCCCCCTGAGCGATAGCTGCAGCAGCGGGAGACGGAGGAGGAGGAGAAGGAGGGGACGGGGCACACAACCGGCACCCCCACACCCGCCACCCCCACACTCCACATCCCCAAACCCTAAAACGGGTGGGATAGGGGCAGGAGCGCGGGGGACGGCGAGAGGGGGACGGACGAGGCGCGCGCAGGCTGCCCGCGCCGCGCGCTGGCCTGGCGCAGCCCGTACGGGCCGCGCGCGGGCCTGGCGCAGCCCGTACGGGCCGCGCGCGGGCCTGGCGCAGCCCGTACGGGCCGCGCGCGGGCCTGGCGCAGCCCGTACGGGCCGCGCGCGGGTCCCAGGGGCGCTTCGACGGGCGACGGGGGCGTTTTGGCGGGCGACGGGGGGCGCTCCGACGGGCGACGGGGGCGCTTCGACGGGCGACGGGGGGAGGGCGCTTCGACGGGCCACAGGGGGCACTTCGACGGTGGGAAACCGCCGCGCGCCTCGGGGCGCACGGCGGGCAGAAAACCGCCGCGCGCCCCGAGCGCACGGCGGGATGAAAACCGCCGAAACCCTAAAAACGCCGCGCCTTGCGAGCGCGCAGTAGGCAGAAAACGTCGCGCGCCCGAGGCGCGCGATAAGCAGGACAGCAGCGGAAGCATTAGGTGGCGGGCCCACCCACAGGATCGACCCAGGAGGGTCGACCTGCTCTGATAGCATGTCAGAACTAGCTGTAGAAAGTAAGAATGAAGAAAGGAGGGTTTGCACTAGCAACAATGGTGGTACAAATAGCTAACCCTAGAAGGGTTGTACTCGCTATAGAGCACCCCACTGCAGGCTAGAGCATAATATTCTGACAGAGCCTACGAGGTATTTCGCCTCTGGCTGCCGCACGCGGAGCGGCAATCTGGGAAGAAGCTCAAGATTTGGCAATCTGACGGCGCAGCAGAATTCAGGAGCAACCAGATGCAGACATTCCTGACGCAAAAGGGGATCGAGCATCACATCTCTCTCCCCTACGCGCACCAGCAGCAGGGCGTAGCTGAGCGGACGAATCGCACGCTGATGACAAAGGTGCGCGCGCTGATGAAGCAGTCGAAATTGCCGCCGATCTACTGGACTTACGCGATGCATCACGCCGTGCGGATGCACAACCTCCTTTCAACGACCGCGATCACTGGCAACTTGTCTCCGCATGTCAAGTGGACATGAACCAAGGGAGATACCTCGATGCTGCGCGTGTGGGGGTGCATGGTCCAATACCGCCTGCCAACATCGACGATCGGGAAGTTCGCCAGCCGCGCGCGTTGGGGGATTCACCTCGGTATCAGCCACGAATACAAGGCCTGGACCGTGCTGGACCTCCTCAGCCAGAAGACCGCCCATGCCCGCGACGTAATCTTCTACGAACGCCTCTTCCTCGACCAGTTCCACGACGACGAGCAGAGAAACGCGGATCGCGTCTACGCGAACAACGGGCACAGCTACGCAACTCGCGAAGACGAAGCCGCCGCAGCAATTCTGGAGCAGGACACGAGGGGCGAGTTCGCATGGGAGAATCGGCGCAGCGGCGACGACGACGACGATTCCTCGGGAGGAATAATTGGCGGAGCAGGCGGAAGCGGAACGGGCGGAAGCGGCGGAGGCGCAGCACCACCAGCACCGCCTGAACCTGAAAGCGACGATGACGACGTGCAGGAAGTCGTCCCGCAACATCGCCACGACAGCACCGTCTCGGGGCTGCAGCTGCTCGGACTTCACGCTGCAACCTCGAAAGCGCCGCGCGTCATCGAGCCCCGAAATCCGCGCGAGGCTCTCTCTGGACCACACAGAAAAGAGTGGCGCGAGGCGATGGACGCGGAAATCAAGGCACTGGAGTCACGCGACACCTGGGTGCTCGTTGATCGCGCCGCAATCAAGGACGCAAGGGTCCTCTCGGGGAAGTGGGTCTTCCGCGTGAAAACCGCAGCAGATGGAACGATCGAGCGCTTCAAGGCGCGCTGGGTGGTACGCGGCTACGACCAGAGGCACGGGATCGATTTCGATCAGACGTTTGCCTCGGTCAGCCGCCACACCTCCGTCCGCATCCTGCTCGCCATCGCAGCTGCAAGGCACCTGCCACTCCGTCAAATCGACGTGAAGAATGCGTTCCTGTACGCACTAGTAGATGCCGTGATCTACGTGGAGCAGCCACACACCTACGGCGAAGGGGATTCACGTGTGTGTCAGCTGCGCAAATCCCTCTACGGCATCAAGCAGGCTCCGAGGCTGTGGCAGCAGTACCTGCACAACATTCTGCTTGAAATCGGGTTCAAGCAGATGCCGCACGATCCAGGGATGTACCGCCGCGATTTCCGCGGCGAATACATTCTCCTCACAGTGTACGTCGACGACTTGCTCTACACAGGATCAAACAACGAGCTTCTCGAGCAGTTCAAAAAGGCCCTGGCGGGGCGCGTCGACATCACGTGCAACTACGAGGTGAAGCAGTTCCTGGGCCTCAACATCTCCTACGCTCCTGAGGCCATTCACCTTTCAGCGGCTAAGTACGCAGAGGAGTTAGGGAAGCGGTTCAGCATCTCACCGGCATCCCTCTCAACTCCCTATCGCACCCCCGGACCGAACCACAAACCTGACAACAAAGCCCTGTCCCCTGCTGGGATTCAGACTTACCAGCAGCAGTTGGGATGCCTCCTCTTCGCCTCTGTCACCTGCAGGCCAGACCTCTCGTACATCGCCAGCCAGCTGGCGCAGTACTCACGCAAACCAACGGCCGAGAATCATCTGGACCTGCAGCGGGCTCTTCAATTCTTCGTTTCAACGCCCAAGATTGGGCTGTGCTACTCAACTGCACCAACTCCATCTTTCAACCTCATCGGCTACGTGGACGCCGATCACGCAGCAGACCCCGACAATCGACGGTCCAGGACCGGCTTCCTGTTCCGACTCGAGCCATCGGGACCAATCTCCTGGAATTCACAGAAGCAGGAATTGGTTGCACTGTCATCCGCCGAATCGGACTTCATCGCAGCAACCGCAGCAGTTCGCGAGGGCCTCTATCTGCAGGAACTCCTGCAAGAGGCGAAAATTCCGACTTCGCCGACCTTCCGCCTTCACTGCGACAACCAGAGCGCGATTCGTATCGCGAACAAACCTGGTTTCGTCAACCGCACCAAGCACATTGCGCTGCGGTACTTCTTCGTGAAGGACGAGGTGGACAAGGGCAAGGTCAACTTGACCTACTGCCCGACGGGTGACATGGCAGCGGACTTCCTCACGAAGCGACTGCCACGCCAGCAGTATCAGCACTGCTCCGAACTCAGCGGCGTGGTCAAGCAGGTCAAGTCGAGCTACGGCCAGGAGTGAAGGGGGGTGTTACGAATAGTAACATTTGATATTACTGTGCACTCCTCACCGCAGCAAAGAGAAGCACGCAGTAACGGGAATGAACGCGAACCGTCAGACGGTTGGAATTGACTCGAAGCGACGGACAGTTGGAACGCATCTGGACCGTCGGAAGCAGACGGCATCGGGCAGCTACAGGCAGGATGGTTTTGGCGGGAACAGTTACGAAACTGTACGCGCCGCACGGTTGGGAGTGAATTTGAATAAGGGAATGTACCCCTTAGAGTACATGGCTAGATAGGTCGTTTCGTATTCCCTTGTACTCATATTTATATTCTCTGTTTTGCATGTTTTAATCATCTCAAGCATTTACATTCACTCTGCTATTGAGGTCAAGGGCCCACCAACTATTTCACTGCGTGCGAACCTTCCTGGGTAGATCCCGAGCTACCATCAACTTCTGATCGCAGCACATCACATGACAGAAACCAGTTCTCACACAGAACATAGAGGTATCATGGCACTGAATCCAATCACAGGTTGTGGATGGGGTCAAAAAGCAACTACCCCCAACATCCACCACCCCTCCTGTTAAATTTCTTTGTCCAAACACCCCCAAGGGCAATCCTCCAAGACGGAGACTCCACCTGATCCGTCTGTCCCTAGGACGCACCCAAGAAATTAAGCTGAAACACGATGACACTACCGCCAATTACAGGTTATGCATCAAGTCAAAGCACCCACTCCCAACATCCACCACCCGCCCAAGCGCAATCCTTGAAGACGGAGACTCCATCCTGTCAGTCTGCCCCTTGGACGCCGCATTTATCAAGAACTTGGTCGCCGTCTCAAAACTCATCTTCAAAATCGGCGATGGGTTCGCGTCAATCCCGTTACGGTTACACGCGCGGTAACCGCCATCATACGTCATAAAATCCGCAATCAGTCCCAAATGCCTCGGGTCCACCGCAATCCCGTACATCCCGAACACGCCCCGAACCTCCTTCACGATCGTCGCACGCGCCGCCTCCACGCCAAGCGTCGTCAGAACCGCCGCAATGTGATTCGTTGAAAGGCGATTTAGATCTAACACTCCCTCATCGTCATGTTTCCCCATGGTTGTCACAGCGAGGTTCCAGAGGCCGGGGAAGTTGAGACCCTCGACTTGGATGCGGGGCGGCTGGCCTGGGGATGCTGGTTCAAGAGCGGCACAGCGCTGCACTCCCGGTGTGGCTCGCACCACCACTGCTGCTGCCACCTTGTCTACAATCTGCAGATAGAGGGTGTGGGGTGGGGTTGGAGGAAAGGGAGAGGGATGGTGATATGAATTGCGGGATGCAGCGTAGCATGTTGGGAATGAGGTTCCAGAGGCCGGGGAAGTTGAGACCCTCGACTTGGATGCGGGGCGGCTGGCCTGGGGATGCTGGTTCGAGAGCAGCACAGCGCTGCACTCCCGGTGTTGCCCGCACCACCACTGCTGCTGCCACCTTGTCTACGATCTGGAAAAAGAGTGAGAGAGAGGGTGATGGGGTGCGGGGGGGTTGGGAGAGAAAGGGCGTAGCATGTTGGGGGATGCCCTGGAACCAGCTCAGTGCAGCACAGCGCTACACCACCACTGCTGCTGCCACCTTGTCTACAATCTGGAGCGACTGGGTGACGGGTTGGGGGTTGGGAGAAGGGAGAATTTTGTCATGAACACAGGTCCACCTCGCTACAAGCGCAATCTGGCCTCGTTATAAGCACACTCACTCACCTCATGGATGAGAACAGCGGGTGACGTCACTGGCAACGACAGCTCCATCTGCATCCACACTTCCCGAGGCGCCCCAAAAGGTGGTTTTAAGGGCGCCTCAAAAGGCGCTTCAATGGGCGTCTAAAGGGCGCTTCAAAGGGCGCCTCAAAAGGCCCCTCACAATGTGCCTCAAAACACAACTCACCTCATGGATGAGAACAGCAGGTGGCGTCACTGGCACCGACAGCTCCATCTGCATCCACCCTTTTTGAGGCTTCTCAAGTGGTAAACTCGCCTTGTGAATGAGCACGGTGGGCGTTTTTTAAGGACCCAAACAACGATCTCCAATAAAAGAGGCGCCTCAAACAGAACTCACCTCATGGATGAGAACAGCAGGTGACGTCACCGGCACTGACAGCTCCATCTGCATCCACGCTCATTGAGGCGCCTCACAAGGCGTCATTTGAGCACAATTTCACCTTGTTATAGGCACACTCTCTAAGCACACTCTCTCACCTCATGGATGAGAACAGCTGGTGACGTCACGGGCACCGACAGCTCCATCTGCATCCACCTTCATTGACGCGCCACACTGTGCCTCAAAACAAAACTCACCTCATGGATGAGAACAGCTGGTGACGTCACGGGCACCGACAGCTCCATCTGCATCCACGTGTCGCCACCTGTCACCGTCGCCACCGCCACCTGCTTTTCCTTCCTCCTCCTCCTCCTCGTCTTCTTCTCCCCCTCTTGCTCCACCCCTTTCTCCTCTTTCTTCTTCCCCTTCTTCGCCTTGCTACCCTTCTTCTTCCTCCCCTTCCCTTCTGCTGCTGCTCCTGCGGATTCTGTAGCTGCTGCTTTACCTGCTCCCACCTCCTCTTCTTCCTCTTCCTCCTCTTCTTCTTCGACCTCTTCCTCCTCCTCTTCCTCTTCTTCCTCCTCTTCCGCCTTCACTTTATCAGCGTTACCAGGTCCTCTCTTAGCAGAGCCCTTACCCTCCCCCTCTGCTTGCTCCACCCCCTCCTCTCCCTCTGCCGCTTCCTCCTCTTCCTCCTCCTCTTCCTCCTCCTCTTCCTCGTCTTCCTCTTCCTCCTCCTCCTCATACTCCTGTTCATCATCCCCCTGCCCCCGCTCCTTCTCAGCATCCTTCCCATCCTCCTCCCCTCCCTCCTCCTCTTCCTCCTCTTCCTCCGCCTCCCCATCCACCAACCCTCCCTTCTTCCCTCCCTTCTTCCCCCCCTTCCTCTTCCCCTCCACCTCCTCCTCCCCCTCTCCCTCCTCCCCCTCTCCCTCACCCCGTTCCTTCTCCCCACGGCCTTCAGCCATCACCACCACCCCCCCACCCCCGGCCCGATCCAAAGCCCTCTCCAGAGCCTTCCCGACCCTGGGAGCAAACTCGTAACTGAACGCGGCCTTGATTTCTTCAAACTTAAGGTCAAGGTCAGCAGGGTAGCGGCTGGTGGGGTGGAAGGCCAGGCGGATAGAGTAGCGCCTCGAGTTGCGATCTCCACCGTTGATCGGGACGAGATTTGTGCGCTCCGAGACATGGATGGCTGAGATCAGCTCGGCCATTGTGATCCGACGGAGCTTGTTGGCTATGCGTTGGGCGTCCTCACTGGTGGGAAGGAGGTGGAAGGGGTTGGAAGGGGGTGGAAGGGGGTGGAATGGGGTGGAAGGAGGTGAAGGGGGAGGAAGGGGTGGAATTAGGTGAGGAAATGGGCCGATGCTGCTAGACTCACACATCGACTCACAGGCGGACGGAGGACTCTAAGACTTACAACAAAGAACTCATGGTTGGGAAGCAACAGGGGGAGGGGGAGGAGGGGGGGGGTTGGTTAACAACTCACAGGGTGGCCGGGCAGCAGAGGGCAGTCCATGACAACATTTGGCAAACAGCTCCAGGAACGAAACGTCAAACGAGTAATTTTTTTTGTGTTCAGTCCCGATATGCCCTCGCGCATGTTGCGAGGGGCACATACAACCTCACAGGCAGAATCGAAGATAGTCCCACACGGGACTCACAGCGTGCGGCCGGGCAGCAAGGGGCAGTCCATGACAGGCGTGGAGATGTTGCGAGCAGCGGTCATGAGGATCTCACGCAGGCGGGGAATGCCCAGAGTCACGTTCGCCTCTCCTCGCCCTGCGAAGTGGAACGTGTTCAGCCTGAGGTGGAAGAAGGAGGGTTGTGTGGAATGGGGCATGTGTGGTAGAGGGAATGATTGCAAGAAAGAAGCATGTGTGGCAGGCAACCATCTAGTCCCAGGAGTCATACTCGTTTAAACCCCACCAGAGTTGACTTTCGAGTTGACTCAAAAGTCAATAACCATGTGTGGCAGGCAACCATCTAATCCCAAGAGTCATACTTGTTTCATCCCACCAGGAACATGTTCAGCCTGATGTGGGAAGGGTGCGGAGTGGTGAAGTGCGGGGTGGTTCGGTGGGTGCGGTACATTGTGCAGTGCAGTGCAGTGCAGTGCAATGCGGTGCGTTGCAGTGTGGTGCAGTCCAGTGCAGTGGTGCCTATGTGGAGCATGCTCAGCCTCAGCACTCACGCAACTTGCCACTCACGTCATCTGTGTGGATGGCTCCCCAACTGACTGAGCCGCCAGCACCCCCACTGAGTCCACAAAACAACATGCCTCCCTCTCATGTCATCTTCCCACTCACGTCATCTGTGTGGAGGGCTCCCCCACTGACTGAGCCGCCAGCACCCCCACTGAGTCCACAAAACAACATGCCTCCCACTCACGTCATCTGTGTGGAGGGCTCCCCAACCGACTGAGCCGCCAGCACCCCCACCGGCTCCCCAGGCTGCACAGTAGACGCCAGGTACTTCATCTCCAGCACCTCTCTCAACCGCTCTGCATCCTTCTTCTTCCCCTTCTTCCCAGCTCCTTTCCCAACCTTCCCCAGAACCGCCGACTGCAGAAACTTCTCGGAGGCAGCTTCAAAGGCAGGGGACACAACCCCGAGCTTCGACCCGGGGCACTCCACATCCATCACCTCTGCTGCTGCTTCTGCCCCTGTTGCTGTCTCTGTTTCTGCTGCTGTTTCTGCGGGGTCTGTTGAATCAGCAGCAGCAGTGGCACGGGGAGGCATTGCCTCGAGGCCGAGAGCCTTGGCCTCGTCCAAGCGGAGGGCTGCGCTACCTGCTGCTCGTTCTGTTGTTGGGTTTCAGAGTTTCACACAGGAGAGAAGAGGGAGGGAGGGAGGGAGCAGCTTCAAGGCGGGGGAAACGACACCAAGCTTCGTCCGGGGCACTCCACATCCATCACCTCTGCGCCTCTTTGCTGTTTCTTCTTCTTCTGCAGCTGCTGTTTAGCATGAGGAGGCATTGCCTCGAGGCCCAGAGCCTTGGCCTCGTCCAAGCGAAGGGCTGCCGCTACCTGCTGCTCATTCTGTTAGGGAGGGGGGAGGGGGGAGGGAGGGAGCAGCTTCAAAGGCGGGGGACACGACTCCGAGCTTCGACCCTGGGCACTCCACATCCATCACCTCTGCTGCCTCTGCCGCTGTTTCTTCTTCTTCTGCTGCTGTTTTCTACTGTTTCTGCTGATTCTGCTGAATGAATCGGCAGCAGCAGTGGCACGGGGAGGCAGTGTTTCAAGCCCGAGAGCCTTGGCCTCGTCCAAGCGGAGGGCCGATGCTACCTGCTGTTCATTCTGTTGTTTGAATCCAGACAGGAGAGGGGTGGAGTGTGTTGGGTCAGTGGCAGTGGCACGGGCATGTTGCGAGGGGCACATACAACCTCACAGGCAGAATCGAAGATAGTCCCACACGGGACTCACAGCGTGCGGCCGGCAGCAAGGGGCAGTCCATGACAGGCGTGGAGATGTTGCGAGCAGCGGTCATGAGGATCTCACGCAGGCGGGGAATGCCCAGAGTCACGTTCGCCTCTCCTCGCCCTGCGAAGTGGAACGTGTTCAGCCTGAGGTGGAAGAAGGAGGGTTGTGTGGAATGGGGCATGTGTGGTAGAGGGAATGATTGCAAGAAAGAAGCATGTGTGGCAGGCAACCATCTAGTCCCAGGAGTCATACTCGTTTAAACCCCACCAGAGTTGACTTTCGAGTTGACTCAAAAGTCAATAACCATGTGTGGCAGGCAACCATCTAATCCCAAGAGTCATACTTGTTTCATCCCACCAGGAACATGTTCAGCTGATGTGGGAAGGGTGCGGAGTGGTGAAGTGCGGGGTGGTTCGGTGGGGGCGGTACATTGTGCAGTGCAGTGCAGTGCAGTGCAATGCGGTGCGTTGCAGTGTGGTGCAGTCCAGTGCAGTGGTGCCTATGTGGAGCATGCTCAGCCTCAGCACTCACGCAACTTGCCACTCACGTCATCTGTGTGGATGGCTCCCCAACTGACTGAGCCGCCAGCACCCCCACTGAGTCCACAAAACAACATGCCTCCTCTCATGTCATCTTCCCACTCACGTCATCTGTGTGGAGGGCTCCCCCACTGACTGAGCCGCCAGCACCCCCACTGAGTCCACAAAACAACATGCCTCCCACTCACGTCATCTGTGTGGAGGGCTCCCCAACCGACTGAGCCGCCAGCACCCCCACCGGCTCCCCAGGCTGCACAGTAGACGCCAGGTACTTCATCTCCAGCACCTCTCTCAACCGCTCTGCATCCTTCTTCTTCCCCTTCTTCCCAGCTCCTTTCCCAACCTTCCCCAGAACCGCCGACTGCAGAAACTTCTCGGAGGCAGCTTCAAAGGCAGGGGACACAACCCCGAGCTTCGACCCGGGGCACTCCACATCCATCACCTCTGCTGCTGCTTCTGCCCCTGTTGCTGTCTCTGTTTCTGCTGCTGTTTCTGCGGGGTCTGTTGAATCAGCAGCAGCAGTGGCACGGGGAGGCATTGCCTCGAGGCCGAGAGCCTTGGCCTCGTCCAAGCGGAGGGCTGCCGCTACCTGCTGCTCGTTCTGTTGTTGGGTTTCAGAGTTTCACACAGGAGAGAAGAGGGAGGGAGGGAGGGAGCAGCTTCAAGGCGGGGGAAACGACACCAAGCTTCGATCCGGGGCACTCCACATCCATCACCTCTGCTGCCTCTGTTGCTGTTTTCTTCTTCTTCTGCAGCTGCTGTTTTCTGCTTGGTCTGCAGTAGCATGAGGAGGCATTGCCTCGAGGCCCAGAGCCTTGGCCTCGTCCAAGCGAAGGGCTGCCGCTACCTGCTGCTCATTCTGTTAGGGAGGGAGGGGGGGAGGGAGGGAGCAGCTTCAAAGGCGGGGGACACGACTCCGAGCTTCGACCCTGGGCACTCCACATCCATCACCTCTGCTGCCTCTGCCGCTGTTTCTTCTTCTTCTTCTCTGCTGCTGTTTCTACTGTTTCTGCTGATTCTGCTGAATCGGCAGCAGCAGTGGCACGGGAGGCAGTGTTTTCAAGCCCGAGAGCCTTGGCCTCGTCCAAGCGGAGGGCCGATGCTACCTGCTGTTCATTCTGTTGTTTGAATCCAGACAGGAGAGGGGTGGAGTGTGTTGGGTCAGTGGCAGTGGCACGGTTTGGTATTGCCTCAACTCTCGAGGCCGAGAGCCTTGGCTTTGTCCACGATGCCAATTGCTGCTCGTTCGGTTTGATGGGGTTGGCAGGTGTTTGATGGGGTTGGCAGGGTTTCAGGGGTTTCAGACAAGGGAGGGACGGGCCTGTTGGGGTGAGTGGCAGTGGCACGGGTTTGTATTGCCTCGAAACCGAGAGCCGTGGCCTCGTCCAATCGGAGGGATGATGCCAACTGCTGTTCATTCTGTTGTTTGGGGGTTTCAGACAGGGGATGGCGGGGTGTGTTGGGTTAGCAGCAGTGGCACGAAGAGGCATTGTTTTTAGCCCGAGAGCCTTGGCCTCGTCCAGCCGAAGGGCTGCTGCTACCTGCTGCTCGTTCTGTTGGTTGGGGGGTTCAGGGTTTGGGTTCCATACAGGGATTCAGGGTTTCACACAGGAGAGAAGAGGGAGGGAGGGATGCTGTTTCTGCTGGGTCCGAAGTGGCATGGGGTGGGTGGCATTGCCTCGAGGCCGAGAGCCTTGGCCTCATTTCGGATCTGCACGATGGACGAGTCGCTGTCTCTCACCCCAACCACACCCACCACACCACACCGTACCACACCACACACACAACCCACCCACCACACCCCACCCCACCAACACCACACCGCACCTCCTTGATGAACTCGAAGTTGGTAAGGAAGGACGTCCTGCTGGTGTCAATGGCATCCTCTCCGTACCGAAACTGCACAATGGACGCATCGCTGTCCCGCACGCTGTAGTCGTAGTGCACTCGCAGCCCCTCCAAGTTCTTTACAAGGCACCGCTGCAGGTACCCACTGCGGGATGTTTTTACTGTTGTGTCCACGAGACTACAGGGGATAAAGGAGACAACAGGAGGGAAGAAAGGAGGAGGGGTTTATGAAGGGCCGATAGGGTCAGTCAGTGGCTGTGCCCCCCGCTGCGGGGGTTGCCTCCTCCGTTGTGCTCGCTGTACCCACTGCGAGACGTCTTGACGGTGTAGTCCACGAGCCTGGGGCTTACCAAGCGAGCGTAAAGGGAACGGAGGAGGCAAGGGGGAAAGGGGGCAATGGTTAGGTCTGCTGTCTCTCACGCTGATTCTTCACCAGGCACTGGTGCAGGTAGGACGTTAGGAAACGCGAGGGAGGAAGAAATAATAGACATGGACAATAACACTCACCCATCACTTCCACCAGACAGAACTAGATGCTCTTGCTGCTCCTGCACCCTCTTTCCCGTGCGACTACTCACCCGCACACCCATCATCCAGCACAAGCATCACGCACTCACCAGTCTCGTCCAGCAATGAACCCGCCTGCTTGCGCCTCGCTGCTCTGCTCCACGCCTCAAAGCAAGGCAGAGTCTTCCCCGACGCCATTCGTGGCACACGCTTCCCCTCCAGCTCCTGCTGCCCCAGCAGCCCCACCTACCACCTGCCCCTTCCCTCACCGCTCCTTCCCACTGACCCTTCTCACCTGCCCCTATTCACTACATCAACCAACAAGCACCACGCTCGCACTCACCCGTCTCTGCCTGCCATGCAGTGAAAATAATATTCCTGCGGCCGTAACCCAGTCAAGAACCGGTCAGCAATAAACCTCCCGCCCGCGCCTCGCTGCTCCACGCCTCAAAGCAAGGCAGAGTCTTCCCCGACGCCATTCTCGGCACGCGCTTCCCCTCCAGCTCCTGCTGACCCAGCAGCACCGCGATCTGGTTAAAATTCACGCCGCTGCCCTTGGCGCCAGTGACCGTCATCAGCGACATGCAATTGGCCGGGAAGGTTTCAGCTGCCCGTCGGGCAGCGCGGCGGAGGTGGCGGCGGTGGTGACCTTGCTGAGCGCGGAGGTCATTCGGTTGTCCAGGGCGGCTGTTGCTGCGTCTTTCCGCGTGCGCAGTTGTATGGCCACGTGCTGCCTCACCCACTCCTTGTTCGCAGCTGCAAAGTGGCAGAAGGAAACCAAACGGGAGGACAGGGGAAGCAAAGGGGAAGCAAAGGGGAAGCAACGGGCACAGGGGAAGGGGGAGGGTAGGAAAAGGGAGTGAGGGTGAGTGAGAGAGTGCAGCGGATGTTTGTGGCGGTGGTGACCTTGCTGAGGGCGGAGGTCATTCGGTTGTCAGGGCGGCTGTGGCGGCGTCTTTCCGCGCACGCAGCTGCAGTGCCACGTGCTGCCTCACCCACTCCTTGTTTGCAGCTGGGAAACAGCAAGGGGAAAGGTTCGGGGAGAGGAAGGGGGAAAGGGACGGAAAAGGATCAAAGGGGAAAGGGGAAGAAAAAGGGGAAGGGAAGGGGAGGGGAAAGGGCAACAGGGAAAGAGAAGGGGAGCCAGGTGAGTGAATGAGAGAGTGCGGAGGTAGCGGAGGTGGTGACCTTGCTGGGGGCGGAGGTCATTTGGTTGTTCAGCGCTGCTGTGGCCGCGTCATTGCGCGAGCGGAGTGCGCAGCTGCAAGGCCGTGTGCTGCCTCATTCACTGCTTGCTTTGCTGAAGGCTGCTGTGGTGCCTCAGGACTACCCACTCTCTGCTTGCTTCCCTGTGAGCCCCACGAACGGTGCATGGACAGGGTACATTATAAGTCGACTAGTTGTTGTTGTTTGTTTGTTTTGTTTTCTTTCTTTCTTTCTTTCCCTCTATAATTTCAATGTGCTTGCACTATGTGATGGCCACTCACTCTCCGCCTTCTTCCCGGTGAGCCCACGAACTGCGCATACACGGGGTCCCCGATGCTGTCCGCCCGCGATATGATTGCCGCCCGCTCTGCCTCTGCGGGGGCTGTCAGCAACAGATCGCCCACCCCGCAGGTGAATCCGCGGATCTGAAAGTAGAAGAGGGTTGGGAAGGGGTGGGGTGCGGTAATGAAGGCGGGAAAACCAGGTTTGGGGGGGTCAAAGACATGTGTCAGCCGCAGATTGCCCACCCTGCAATTGAACCTGCGAATCCGAGGCAAAGAGTGAGGTGGGAGGGGGGAAGGGCCGTACAAGTTGCCTGAAGATTGCTCACCACGTCGGTATAACTACGGACATGAAAGAGCAGGTGAACGGCGGAGAGGAGAATTGCCCGCAGGACCACCACTGACAGACACACACACATACCAAAGTAATAATAACAGTACTAGTATTAAGATTAAGCTCTTACCTGCAGGAAGGTGGTGAGCAGGCGGCTGAGCGAGGAGAGCAGCTTGCGTAGGGTTGAAAGGGTTGGAGCCCGGGCAAGCTAACATTCGCCTCAAGTTGTTAGCTAGACACTTTACCTGCAGGAAGGTGGTGAGGAGGCGGCTGAGCGAAGAGAGCAGCTTGCCGGCAGCAGGGCAGCCGTAGAGCTCTTGGAAGCAGTGCACGAGACCAAAGCGCGCAAACTGCGCCTTGTCAAACACGCCGGTTACCACCTCGCCGCCCCGCACCTGGTGGGATAGGAAAAGGTGGTGGGAGGGAGGGGGGCGGGCAATAGCATCAGCAGCAGCAGCAACAGCAGCAGCAACAGGAGAGTGTAGCAGCAGCAGGGGGTTGAAATTGTGTTAGCAGCTGCAGCAGCAGCATGAGCAGCAGCAGGGCAGCCGTAGAGCTCCTGGAAGCAGTGCACGAGGCCGTAGCGGGCGAACTGCGCCTTGTCAAACACCCCCGTCACCACCTCACCGCCCCGCACCTGATGGGATAGGAGAGGTGGGGAAAAGGGTGTGGGAGCGTCAGCAGCAGCAGCCGGAGTGGCAGCAAAAGCAGCAGTGGGGTGTGGTAGCGGCAGTCGCAGAAGCATGAGCAGAATGAGCAAGAGCATGATGATGAGCAGCAGGGCAGCCGTAGAGCTCCTGAAAGCAGTGCACGAGACCGTAGCGGGCGAACTGTGCCTTGTCAAACACCCCCGTCACCACCCTCGCCGCCCCGCACCTGGTGGGGATAAAAGAAGTGGGCAGGGAGGGGGGGGGTACCAACAGTGTCAACAGGAGCAGCATCAGCAGGGGTTGCAGTGGCAGCAGCAGCAGCAGCAGCAGCAACAGCGGGGAAGAAGGGGGGGGGGGTGTGGCAGCAGCAGCCGCAGCAGGGCAGCCGTAGAGCTCCTGGAAGCAGTGCACGAGGCCGAAACGGGCGAACTGCGCCTTGTCAAACACTCCCGTCACCACCTCCCCGCCCCGCACCTGGTGGGACAGGGGAGGGGGGGTAATTATTTGTGCAGCAGCAGCACGTGGGTGAGGATGCATAGACTGGTGTCTTGGATGGAAACCACGTGGTAGACGACAAAAAGCTGCTCACAAGGCGCATTGTTCTCCCATCTCTACCTTTGCAGCTACTACTCACCACGCGCAGAGTCGTGTCCTCCTGCCGCCCTTGCCCCAATAGCGCGCTGACACACTGCATGGAACGTCCCATCCCACGCACGGGATGGAGGTTGCATTTAACCCGCAGCATCCCATCTCACCCGCAGCGTCGCGTCCTCCTGCCGGCTTTTCCCCCAATAGCGCGCTGACACCTTGCACGCCACCTCCATTGTCATTGGCTGCTGCCCCTCCGTCAGCAGCTGTAGCAGCGCCGTGATGACCTGGGAGCAGGGGAGGGAGAGGGGAGGCAGGAGGAAGAAGGGGGAGGGGAGCAGGGAAGCGTAATGGGAGGAGAAGAGGTGAGAAGGCCCCGCGATTGAAAAGTGCACCTCCATTGTCATTGGCTGCTGCCCTCCCTCGGTCAGAAGCTGTAGCAGCGCCGTGATGACCTGGGAGCAGGGGAGGGGATGAGCAGTGGAGGGCAGTATGGGAGCAGGAATGGGAAAAAAGGAGGTGAGAGGTGAAATAAACACCATTCTTGCATGGCTGAAGCACTGCTGCCATCGTCATTGGCTACTGCCCCTCCGTTAACAGCTGTAGCAGCGCCGTAATTACCTGGAGAGAAAAGAGAAGAAAGAAGGGAGGCCGTGAGGGAGGGGGGAGGGGAGCAGGGAAGCGGGGAATGGGAAGAGAAGAGGTGAGAAGGCCACGTGATTGAAACGTGCACCTCCATCGTCATTGGCTGCTGCCCCTCTGGCTGTCAGCAGATGTAGCAGCGCCGTGATCACCTGTCAGAGAAGGGGAGGGAGAGGGGTGAGAAGGGGAGGGCAGTGTGGGAGCAGGAATGGAAAGCGAGGAGGAGAGGGGTGAAATATACATCACCGTTGCATGGCTGTTGCCATTGTGATTGGCTGTTCACCCTTCCAACTCTCCCCTCCTCCCTCTCTCAACACTCTCTCCCCTCCCTCACCTGCTTGCCAGTCCACAGTGGTTGCGGCTTCACAACAGCAGGAGGGGGCATGGTCATGGCAGCAGCACTACTACCCGTGTTCCTTTTCCCCTTCCCACTCTCCCCTCCTCCCCAAACGCTCACCTGCTTGCCAGTCCACAGCGGTTGCGGCTTCAGCACAGCAGGGGGCGGCATGGTGATGGCAGCACCGGCATCAGGGAGAGCGCGGATCCTCCCGGGAGCTGCTGCTGCCGTGCCTGCTGGCTTGTCTGCAGCAGACGTGGTGCCCGGAGCGGCGGTGGTGGTGGTGCCAGCAGCACCATCAGCGGGAGGAGCATTGGTAGCAGCAGTAGCAGCTGCTGCATCAACACTACCAGCAGCAGCATCAGCACCAACAGGGGCGGGCAACAGCAGCAGCAGCACCAGCAGCAGGTGCACCATCAGCAACAGCCGTTGCACCAGCAGCAACAGCATCAGCAGCGGCAGGAGCAGCGGCAGCGGCGGGTTTGGCAGGGGAGGCTTGGAAGGGGGTGTCTGGAGGTGGGATGCAGGCGGAAAGAGCAGCTGCTGGAACTCGGTGCGCGTGAGGAGTGTTCCTGGTGAGGTGAGGAGAGTAGCTGCTATGATGTGATCCTGGTAGGGAGGGAGAGCGGGAGGGAGGCAGGGGGGGAAGGAGAAAGGCATGTGAGGGCGCGTGCTGGAACAGGCGGAGAAGAGCAGCTGCTGGTACTCGGTGCGCGTGAGGAGCGTTCCGGGTGAGGTGAGTAGGGTGGCTGCGATAATATGGTCCTGGCAGAGAGGGGGGGAGGAGAGTAGAGTAGAAGACAGCAAGAAGCGGGGACAGGCATGTGAATGGGCAGGCGGAGAAGAGCAGGTGCTGGAACTTGGTGCGCGTGAGGAGCGTGCCGGGGGATGATGTGATCATTACCTTCCCCAGCTGAACCCTCTCACTCACCTGAATAAGCCCTCTCGCAGGCAGCCCGTTGGTGGGCAGTATGTACTGTATCAGCGTCTACTATCGAGTATGCTTCTGCTCGCCCCAGGGCGTCCTGAGGCAGATGCACGTTCATCTCGTCCCCATCAAAGTCAGCGTTGTACACACTGCGGTGACAAGGGTGAAGGAGGTTAAGGAGGGGTGACGAGGGGTGAAGGGCGGTGAGGAGGGGTGAATTGGAGTTCACTTCTGCTCGCCCCAGGGCGTCCTGAGGCAGATGCACGTTCATCTCGTCCCCGTCAAAGTACACACTGCGGTGACGAGGGGTGAAGGGGGGTGACAACGGGTGACGAGGGGAGAAGAGGGGTCAAGTGGGGCACGTAACACGAGTTTTAAGGTTTTAGAGACTTAAGCTGTTAAAAGCAGAGTGAAAACCACACAGATTTGGGTTCAGGTGTGGGGTTTAGGGTGGATGCCGCACACATGCGACATTAAGTCGTCTAGCAACTCACGTCATGTGTAATAAGATTGTTGTCGGGACGTTTCGAAAGCTAGCAAACTCACTTGCAGTTGGCGTAGTGCAGGCGCAGGGTCTTCTCGCCCTTGAGGATCTTCACTCGGTGTGCCATGATGCCGGGACGATGCAGCGTGGGCTGCAGGCAAAGAGTGGGAAAGCAGGGACGAGAATTAAGGAGAAAGGAGGTTTGACAGAGAGTCCAGTCCACCGCAGGGTGTTCTCCCCCTTGAAGATCTTCACTCTCACTCGGTGCGCCATGATGCCATTGCGGCTTTTTTTTTTTTTTTGCACTGCTAGGCCAGCCAGGGCGGTGCAGCGTGGGCTGCAGGCAAAGCGGAGGAAGATCATGGGGGAGGAGAAGAGGGAAAAGAGCGGAGGGAAAGGAGCATGAAGCAGCGCTGGTGGGACACGGAATCTGACCCCAAGACGCAATTAAATAAAAACCTTACCATCCCTCATGTGCAGATACACGGCGATGTTCAGGTTTAAACTAAAGTCAAATCCCACTCACTCACCTGTCGGTTCACCAGCACCACGTCGTTATCCCGCATGTGCCGATACACCAACTTCACCATCGCACGTTTGGGTCAACTCGAAGCTCACCACACCGCCACAATGCCACACCAACGCCTTGTGTCTCGCTCTCACCTGCCAGTACACCGATTTCACCATTGCATGTTTGCGTCGACTCAAAGCTCACCACACACCGCACAATGCCACACCACACGCCTTGTGTCTCGCTCTCACCTGTCGATTCACCAGCACCACATCTCCTCCGTCATATGTCGATACACCGATTTCACCATCGCGCGCCGCACATGCACCCCCTCCCCTCTGCCGCTCCCTCCCCTGCCCCCTTCTTCCCCTCGCCGTCCTTCACGTGGACACCTGTCGCGCGCTGATTGGCCGCGAGCGCGGCAGCAGAGGGCGTGGAGAGGAGGGTGCGGGCGAGGGCTCTGCGGCGGTCGGGGTGGAGGTGGGCGAGGGAGACGAGCTGCCCCCTCTCGTCCTCCACGTGTGTGGCTCCGGGCAGCACATCCGCCCCGTTCTCCACGAGCTTCGCTAGGTATTCCACGTTCCAGTCGGTTACGGTCTGGATTGTTAGGGGAGAGTGGAGGAGCGGAGGGTCGGGTCGGGGAGGGGGGAGGAGGGTGGAAAGGATGGGGAATGGGAAAACCCCGTTCGCCACCAGCCTTGCCAAATATTCAGCTTTCCGATTCGTTACGGTCTGGTTTAGGGGGAGCGAAAGCAGAAAAGGCCAGTTCATCACCAGACTTACCTCTCCAAACGTGTCACCTGCTTCCCCTGAGCATGGCTCAGTACACTACCCTCCCAAACGAAGTCAAAAAGCAACATCCGCTACCAGAGGGAATATCTATCCCTATTTCACCACCAGAACATTTCTCTATGTCAGAAGCACACGCTTACCTCAGCATACGTGAGTCGCTTGGCGAAAACGGGCGGCACACCTATCTCATTGACCTGATTTGATTTGATTCGGGTGAACAGAGTGGGGGAGGGAGGGGGTTGGGGGGTTGGGCGGTGCAATGCAATGAGGGTTCGGAATGCAATGGAGTGAAAGGGGTGGAGAGCGATGGTTGTGGCATAGGTTGGTGTTTAGAGAATTCTTGAAGACCAAAAATCCACTGCAGTGAGTGCGATGGGCAGCGATGGTGGAGACATGACACCGCAGGGTGGTGGAGACATGACACCGCAGGGTGGTGGAGACATGACACCGCAGGGTGGTGGAGACATGGGAATGGTGGTGGAGACATGGGAATGGTGGTGGAGACATGGGAATGGTGGGGGCACCAGTGCTCCACTGAAAGTAAACTACTTTTTGGGGTGTAAAACCACAGACAGACAGACCTGGATGTAGGGGTCGGGCGAGATGACGGAGCGGCAGGCGTAGTTGACGCGCTTGCCCATCATGTTCATCCGAAACAGCCCCTCCTTCCTCTCCAGCTGCTGCCGTATGCCGTTCGCCGGGTCCTTCTGATTGCCTGCACACGCGTAGGTGGGTAAAACAGGGGTTGGATGGGGTTGGAAGGGGCATAAGGGAGGAAGTGCCTGTGTTAATGGCAGCGGACAGAACAGCCCCTCCTTCTCCAGCTGCTCAGTCAGGCTTTCGGGTTTAGTCACTCACTCGCCGGGTCCTTCAGCGAGTCTGCACTCATTTTTTAGTCGACTCAAAAATAGGCCATTCGCTGGCTCCTGCTTTTGAGGCGCCTCAAAGGTTTCGGGTTTAGCCACTCGCCGGGTCCTTCTGCGAGTCTGCACTCCAGAAAGGCAAAGAAAGGCAAAAGAGGAGGGGGGGGAAGGCTCGCGTGAGCCTCCTTCCACTCCAGCTGCTGCTGAATGCCGTTTGCCTGTGAGTCCAGTCCCGACCATAGGGCACCAGATTGCGACCCAAACCATGCGATACCTTGCTTGTTTGATTAGACTTTCAGCAACCTGTGAGTCCCGACCATGTGACACCAATTCATGCTTTCCTTCCCATCCACTCACTGCCAGAGACTCACTGCCTGCCCATGCACGCACTCAGGCTGCTGTCCAGGAAGCACTGCAGCCATGCGATCACTGGTCCTTCAAATGACTGCTTATACGAACCCAAACCATGTGATACCTTCCTTTCAATGCACTCACTCAAGCTGCTATCCAGGAAGCAGTTCACATGGTGCTGCAGCTGATACCATGTGTTACCTTCTTTTCCACTCCATCACCAAGCCTGCTTATGCCCCTGCATGCACTCACTCAGGCTGCTGTCCAGGAAGCAGTTCACGTGGTGCTGCAGCTGCAGCCATGCAATCGCCGCCTTCCTCACTTCCGTCGCGCCCATATCCGCCCCCTCCGCCGCCGCTCCCCCTCCGCCATCCACCCCCGCGGTATACACCAGCTGCGCCAGCTGCTTACCGCCCCCTTCACCCTCACCACCACCAGCACCAGCAGTGCCACCACCAGCAGCAGCGTTACCAAAGGCAGCAGCGGCGGCAGCAGCAGCAGCGGCCTCTCGGCCGATCTGGGTGATGAAGAGGTTGGCCTCGAGGATCTTCGTGAGAAAGATGTTCTGAGGGTGCTCCAGCAGCTGTGGGGTGGGTGAGAGGGGAGAGGGAGGGGATATGTCTTGAGACGCCTCAGCGGATCCGAGTGATGAAGAGGTTGGCCTTGAGGATCTTCGTGAGGAAGACGTTCTGCAGGTGCTCCAAAAGCTGAAAGGGGAGAGGGAAAGACAAGGGGATAACGGGACGACGTTAGGGGTTTCGGAGGCTCGGAAAAGGTGCAGTGCAGTCCTGAGGCCTCTCAGCCGATCTGGGTGATGAAGAAGTTGGCCTTGAGGATTTTTGTGAGAAAGACGTTCTTTTAGCTGTTAGCAACCAGTCCCAGCCAGCCTACCATATCGTTCATGATGTGGGGGGGCGGAACTTGTTGAGCGGCACGAGCAGGCAGCGCAGGAACATAACAGTCAGCCAAATGCACATCATCTTATGCATGCACCCAGCCCCATAGAAGCAAGGGCGCATCAGCAAGCAGCCCACCGTGTCGTTCATGATGTTGGGGGGGCGGAACTTGTTGGGCGGTGGATTGAAAGAGAGGCTATGCAACAAGTCATCCCCACCCCATGCATGCAAGCAGCCATCCCATGCATGCAAGCAGCCCACCATGTCGTTCATCATGTTGGGGGGGCGGAACTTGTTGGGCGGTGGATTGAAAGAGAGGCTATGCAACAAGTCATCCGCACCCCATGCATGCAAGCAGCCATCCCATGCATGCAAGCAGCCCACCATGTCGTTCATCATGTTGGGGGGGCGGAACTTGTTGGGCGGTGGATTGAAAGAGAGGCTATGCAACAAGTCATCCCCACCCCATGCATGCAAGCAGCCATCCCATGCATGCAAGCAGCCCACCATGTCGTTCATCATGTTGGGGGGGCGGAACTTGTTGGGCGGTGGATTGAAAGAGAGGCTATGCAACAAGTCATCCCCACCCCCATGCATGCAAGCATCCATCCCATATGCATGCAAGCAGCCCACCATGTAGTTCATCATGTTGGGGGGGCGGAACTTGTTGGGCGGTGGATTGAAAGAGAGGCTATGCAACAAGTCATCCCCACCCCATGCATGCAAGCAGCCATCCCATGCATGCAAGCAGCCCACCATGTCGTTCATCATGTTGGGGGGGCGGAACTTGTTGGGCGGTGGATTGAAAGAGAGGCTATGCAACAAGTCATCCCCACCCCATGCATGCAAGCAGCCATCCCATGCATGCAAGCAGCCCACCATGTCGTTCATCATGTTGGGGGGGCGGAACTTGTTGGGCGGTGGATTGAAAGAGAGGCTATGCAACAAGTCATCCCCACCCCATGCATGCAAGCAGCCATCCCATGCATGCAAGCAGCCCACCATGTCGTTCATCATGTTGGGGGGGCGGAACTTGTTGGGGGGTGGATTGAAAGAGAGGCTATGCAACAAGTCATCCCCACCCCATGCATGCAAGCAGCCATCCCATGCATGCAAGCAGCCCACCATGTCGTTCATCATGTTGGGGGGGCGGAACTTGTTGGGCGGTGGATTGAAAGAGAGGCTATGCAACAAGTCATCCCCACCCCATGCATGCAAGCAGCCATCCCATGCATGCAAGCAGCCCACCATGTCGTTCATGATGTTGGGCGGGCGGAACTTGTTGGGCGGTGGATTGAAAGAGAGGCTATGCAACAAGTCATCCCCACCCCATGCATGCAAGCAGCCATCCCATGCATGCAAGCAGCCCACCATGTCGTTCATGATGTTGGGCGGCGGAACTTGTTGGGCGGTGGATTGAAAGAGAGGCTATGCAACAAGTCATCCCCACCCCATGCATGCAAGCAGCCATCCCATGCATGCAAGCAGCCCACCATGTCGTTCATGATGTTGGGCGGGCGGAACTTGTTGGGCGGAACTTGTTGGGCGGAACTTGTTGGGCGGAACTTGTTGGGCGGAACTTGTTGGGCGGCACGAGCAGGCGAGCAGCGCAGGATGCACCCAGCAGCCCAAATCACACAAGCAAGGCCCCAGAAACCACCCACCCACCCTGCCCCCACGCACTCCCATGGAAGCAAGGGCGCATCAGCAAGCAGCCATCTCACCATGTCGTTCATCATGTTGGGCGGGCGGAACTTGTTGGGCGGAAATGGAGAGAGGGGCTATACGGCTCGATGAGACAATCATCCCCATACACTTCGTCCCCCATACAAGCAGCAAGCAAGCAAGAGAGCAGCCCACCATGTCGTTCATGATGTTGGGCGGGCGGAACTTGTTGGGTGGCACGAGCAGGCAGCGCAGGAAGAAGGCAGACGGCCACGTCGCAGCACCACCTCCCCCAGCACCACCGCCCCCATGGTGCCCATGATGCCCCACGCCCTGCTGCTGCTGGTAGTACCGCTTGTGATGGTACGGCGAGAGATTCGCAGTGGAGTGGGGGCGTGGCCGTGGAGTGGGAGTGGGAGTGGGTAGAGGAGTGGGCGACGGGAGAGGAGGTTCCAAAGAGCGCGTTGCAGATAGCAGGCTCGCGGATCCACAACCTCCTCAAATGCTCCTCCACCTCTGCCACATTCATCAGAAACGGCCTTCTCGTCTCCGCCTCTCCCCTCCTCCCCCTCCCCTTCCTCCCGCCCCCCGCTTCCGCTTCGCTGCCGCAGGCAACATCCCGTCGTCATCACTATCCTCTCGTTCCCTCAGCAACATGCGCTTCTCTCCGCTTCCGTCGCCGTCCACGGTGTAGCTCTGCAGTTCGCCGTCCGGCCCGATGCTGATGTCAGCGGGGTCGTAACCAGAAGCTGCGGCTTCGGCCAGCTCTGCCAGCACGTCTGGGAAGGTGAATCCGTTCAGGTCGTTCTGGTGCTGCTGCTTCACTGCTAAGGGTTTCTGATGTGGGAAGGGGGGAGTTGGGTGGGGAGGGGGGGGGGGGGGGGGGGGGGGGGGGGGGGGGGGGGGGGGGGGGGGAGGAGGGAGAGGTGGAATGGAACAGAGGAGTGGGAAGCTGCAACCTCTGCCAGCCAGCTCTGCCAGCCAACTCTGCCAGAGCCTCTGTCATGCCAGCACCTCAGCATTTCGCCGTCCGGCCCGATGCTGATGTCAGCGGGGTCGTAACCAGAAGCTGCGGCTTCGGCCAGCTCTGCCAGCACGTCTGGGAAGGTGAATCCGTCAGGTCGTTTGGTGCTGCTGCTCACTGCCAGGGGTTTGAGAAAGTTAGTGGGAAATGGGGAGGGAGGGAGAGGTGGGACTGAGGAATGGGTTGCTGCGGCTTCAGCCAGCTCTGCCAGCACGTCTGGGAAGGTGAATCCGTTGAGGTCGTTCTGGTGCTGCTGCTTCACCGTAAGGGTTTCTAAAAGAACCAAGGGCGAAACGGGGGAGGAAGAGGTGGAATTGAGGGGTGGGTGGGTGAAAGGCTCCAGCATCAGCCAGCTCTGCCAGCACGTCTGGGAGGGTGAATCCGTTCAGGTCGTTCTGGTGCTGCTGCTTCACCGCAAGGGTTTCTGGAAGAATGGGAGGCATAAGGGGGGGGGGGGGGGGGGGGGGGGGGGGGGAGGGGTGGGGGGTTGGAATTGGGTGGTAAAGGAAAACCAAACAACCAAACAAACGAATCCCCGAGCCCAGACAACCAAACGTACCGGAAGATCTTGCTGTGGCCCTCCCGCTTGACGGTGGGGTTGTTAGCCCCGCAGTTCTGGCACCTGGAGGGCGGCAGCACACTCACAGCTCCGCACCACCTCCTCGCCGCCACCTCTGCTGCCCACGACCACCTCTCCTCTCCCCCTCCCCCCTCCCCCCCTCTTAACTAGCCCCCACAGAACCCCCCAAAAACCCTTGCTGACGAACTCACACATCGGATTTTGTCCACAGGACCGAGTGCAGAGTCATAGAGGCCGCCAGCAGCAGGGCTGCGCAGCCCAT